ATTCTGCCCTCTCTCTCTCTCTCTCTCTCTCTCTCTCTCTCTCTCTCTCTGTCTGTCTGTCAGTCTTTGTCTCTTTCTCTTTCTCTGTGTGTGTGTGTGCGCGCGCGCGCACGCGCTCGTGTGTGTGTATGTCTGTTTGTCTCTCTTTTTCTCTGTCTCTCGGTTGCACAATTACCACCATCGGGTGTTCTCGTGGTATGGAGGTTCGATGTTCTCCTCTCATATAAAAGGCCCCGGTTTCGAAACTTGGCAGTGAAGGAAACTTTTCATCTCTAAATTTCACCTCCTTTCAACACTAAACATGTTCCGTCGTCTGCCTTCGTCTCCACTTTCTGCCCCCACCCCAACCCATTTTGCCCCCTCCTCTAGATCCCTAAATGTTTCTGCAGCATTTCTACTGCTTTTCATTTGCCCCTTCTTACAGCTGTCTTTCAGCTACACCCCTGATCTTAGGGTAGGTAAGATCTAACAGCTTATGACATTATGCAGTGGCGAGCGCTATTAACACTGTCAAAAGAAGAACAAATAGAAAAAAGCAGAAAAAGGCAACAGACAAAAAACAAACAAACGACTCCAAAAAACAAAACAAAAACAAACCCAAAACAAACAAAAACGAAAAAACCCAGAAAAAAACCCCACCATCGACCATGTTGAGCTGGAGGTATGGTCTTTCTTGTTTTAGTACTTGTGGTGGTCGAGCCTTTTCCTCGGTTATTTCCCTTCATCTCCAGCCATTGCTTCACGAGTCAGATTAACCGATCGTTAGGCCTACACATTTTTTTCACAATACCGAATCTCCTCTCAAATGAAATGTGGGATGACTTACGGGAGCAAGCATAGTTGATTTTGAAGGTACAACAGCAACACCCAGTCACAATACCAGAGGACTCCTTATTCATGAAGTAGATTTAATTAAGTATTTCATCCACAGGAACCCTTAATAAAGGCTTGGGTAAGGGAGACAATGATCTAAAAAGGTGTAACTATACAACAATGAACAGAACAACAGAAAGCCGCTTTAAATAATGAAAAAGCAAAACAAGCAAGGAGTTCTTTTCAAAATAGGGGAAATGTTGCGTTTCTTTGTATGCCTTAGGAAACATTTATTGATTTTTGTTTATAAGCAACAAATATGTGAATTTAGTCTAAGCAAAACCATAGTATAATTTAAATGTCTGCACATTAAGTACATAAACAAAATGGCGTTGTCTACAAAAGTGTACGAAAGGTAATGTGATCTCAATCCACTTCACATTACCTTTTTCATATTCAAGAAAAAGACATTGTGGCGGACATAGTAATACGATAGATTAAATTCGATGTCACGGAAATGATAATTTGACAGAAAGCTATCCAAATGTCACGTTAAAAGGTATCGAACTATGACAGGACAAAAGACGCATTGAATATTGATAGGTTAAGGGAAGTATTGAATATTGACTGAAAATTCTGAGCCGGTGGTGAAGTATATAGAGCATTGTAAGATTAAATTATCGTGAAAGTGGTCTCGAATAATGACTAGATTTAAGCGGAATCGAATAATCACAGAGCTCGGGAATAGTTATGGAGTTATTGAACACTGATTAGACAAGGGAGGTATGAAATATTTTCAGTGGCACACAAATATCCAATAATGATTCTAATGAGGTATCAAATGATGACAAAAACAGATATCGAGTGATGGTAGTCATAGAGTAATGATTATAGTCAATGATAGTACATAACAAGATGGGCCACTTCTCTCTTTGAGCCAATTAAAAAAGTGTTCTCAAAATTTGGTGGCGCCCTCTTCACAAAAGCGCACTCTTTGCGAACAGAGTTACCCTACTTGAGTTTTTAAAAATCAAAGTAAAACTAGCAAGTTTTGGGATAAATTTCGGAAGAACGCCTTTTTAAAATGGTTACGCTGACAAAAAAACCTCTTCCGGAGGAAAGGGTGATGGTTTTCTTCGTTTAATTTGACTTTAGAATGAAAGGCGAGAGGTCATTAACATTTAAAAAAACTAAAACTCCGCACTGAACGTACCCGAACTGCTGATGAACAGCAGTCGATCCGCGCATGCAAGGAGGTGCTATTCCTATTCTTCTTCAGGAAAAACGAAAGAGAGCTTCAAAACAGACTGCAGCGCCATCTGGAGCAAAGAGCATACTTCCTGCGGACACTTTTTTGGCTGAATGGCCCATCTTGTTATTCACTATCTTTGTTATAGTCAAAGATTGTACATGACAAGATAGTTCACTCGGCCAAAAAAGTGTCCGCTGAAGTCGTCGCATTGGTTCAGGTGCCGCTGTAATCTTTGTTTTAAAGCTCTCTTTCTTTTTTCCAGAAGAAGAATAGGGATAGCACCGCCTTGCGCCTCAGCTGTTCCGGTTCGCTTAGTGCGGAGTTTTGGGTATATTTTATTTTTAATGACATCTCGCCTCTCGCTCTACAGCCAAATTAAACGAAGAAAACAGTCGCCCCTTCCACCTGAAGAGAAATTTGTCAGCGTAACAATGTAAAAAGGCGTTATTCCGAAATTTTAATTATGATTTATACAAACACTTGTTAGTTTCACTTTGATTTTTTTCCACAAGAAGGGTAACCCTGTTCAACAAGCTGGCGCTTTTTCGAAGATGGCGCACCCGGATTTTGAGGACTCTTTTTTAATTGGTTCAAAGAGAGGAGAGAACCATCTTGTTATACAGAATCGTTGTTATGGTAGAGAAAATATGCTACAAAGGATATCAAATTGTCCTAAAATAGTTGAGCCATACAGTAATCTGATGATAGTCGTAATAACTTGTTAGTTGAAGAACCCCTCAACACAGGGGATACATCGGCCACACGTGCATTCATGTTTGACTGTTCTTTCATCACCCAGTTCTTAACATATCATGTTCCAAAGTCCGAGGGTTGGCATAAAAAAACTGTCACCAAACTCTTCTCTGTAAACTGTCAGCTACGTTGTTGAAAATTCCTGAATGCGCTTTTTTTTCTAAACCTCTGGTCTCTTGTTTCAGACGCAGTAAGCACTTCCCCCGTTCACATCATTTGTTTTCAATGAATTGCAAATGTCCGCTTTTGTACCCATGTGAGTCTCCATGCTTTGTAAACATCTGTCTCTTTCCTCATCACTGAATTCGTCACAATGATATCTAATATTCTGACAAGAGCATCTTTTTGTTTCTAATGAGATATTCTAGCCTCTTTTTTTTATCCCAGCCTTTTGGTCTCATTTCATCTCCAGTTGTGCTAGCCAATCTTTTTATTTCGAGAAGGAAGTCCTCCACCATGATTATTTTTACCATTTCCTTCTTCCATTCCTCTTCCACTCACCATCTCTGAACTATTCTGTAAACCTGACAAAGATTGACAATTCATGTCTTGGTGTGGGGGGGTTCATTCAATGACTTTTTATTGGTCCTTTCTTTACCAATCGTGATATATATATATA